CACCTCCAGGTACCACCTTTTGACTTCCATCCAGCCTCCAACTCACCTCAACAGAAAAAAGCCTCATATCAAAAGAGATGAGCCCAAAGGAAAAGAGAAAGGATTAAAGAGAAAAAAAGCCATGATTTACCTTTAAAATAATGACTCATTTTATTTTTTTCTTTTAATACGTAGTTATAAATATATTTTGTCAAAATATATGATCAATATGGTCAAAACATTTGCACGTAAAGTCATAAATAAGGTCAAGGTGAATGTTTAGGGTTTTCTTCCTTTTTTTTTTTTTTTTTTAAAAAATAAAAGTCCAGCTATAAGGAAGCAGTCTGTGTAGTGTGTGGGTGAGTGGATGAGAATGTGTGTGTGTATGTGTGTGGGGTGTGTGTGTGTTGTGTATATCTGTCTGTCTGTCTATCCTCAAGGACTGCCTGATCTCAGCGGCACCCACATCCCTCTACTACCATCTCCTGATAATTTTTCAGTACCACCTTATCATACTCATCCAGGTACAGCATGGAGATGGCACTCAGTTCAGTGGGCACACAACAGGCTTTGGGGATACTGGAATTGACAGAATTGACCAGGGTCTGCACAATGGCATGGTTGGTTGAGTTGAGGTGGTCAGCCAGTGGAAAGGGGCAGTCCCCATGGCAGTAGAAGGCCTGGTAGCCTGGTGGGGCCACAATCCAGTCATTCCAGCCCACATCGCTGAAGTCCACATAGAGCGAGTGGCGCCGGCAGTTCTTATTCTTCTTCCGGGCCCGCTGTGGGTGATGCTTAGGACTACGCTTGGCCCTCCGGCGTCGGGTCAAGGCATGACCCCGGCCATCATGGCCAAAGGTGACCAGGAGGGGCCGGAGCTGGGCCCAATTCCCACTCCCTTGAGGTAACGATCGGCTAATCCTGACATGCTGGCCCTGGTGGGTCCGAGTCTGATGGAGGTGAGTCACCTCAATGGCCAGCCCATAGTTTGGCTGCTTCTCCCGGGTCCAGCGAAGGACCGCAGGGCTCACATCAAAAGTTTCCCACCGTGTCACATTGTGGTGGACCAGTCTCGTGTCCAGTAGTCGTGTGATGAGGTGCCCAGGCACCACTTCTGCTGGGGGCTTCATAACCTCATAAATGTTTATACGGTGGAAGCCCCGTTCCCAATCAGGGCCCTGGTCCACCTGCTCCCGGAAGAGCCGAAGCTCTGCAGAGGAGATCACCTCGTTCTCTGGGATGCTGCTGAGGTTAAAGAGGAAACGAAAAGCAGAGTTTTCACTGGTCCCTGGGATGTTCTCCAGATGTTCTAGGCACAGTTAGGATGGAAGGGGAAAAGAAAAAGCACATGAACTTTTTTCAAAGATGGAAGAGTCAAGAGAGAGCTCAGGGTTGGGCGACGAATGGTGAATTCTGCTTATGCAGGGGAAACCTACTGGGGGGAAATAAGCATACCCCTTAATTTGAAGGAGCAGATAAGTGGGGCAGCTAGCAAACCAGCAAAATGTAGCTAGCATTTCTCAAGCACCAAAGACAGAAACTACCTCCCAGCCTCCTTGATATGTCTAATAATTTCCATGTGTCAACTCCTCTAGGGCACCACCATCAGACTCCTCTTTTAAAACCCCCCCCCCTTGGTTTTGTGTCCACAGTTTTCTTTACAAGTGGTTGTAAAGAAAAAGAGGGGCCAACAGAGCACAGGCAGGAGGAAACATGCACACAACCACCTTCTCCCTCTTCCACTATTGAGTATGTTACTAAACATTTCCCCAGCGATCTTGGAAACACAGAGCATGCCTTGTTGATCATGTTACAGAGGGGAAAATAAATTCCAACACAGTAATGATGCTGGTGGATTAATAACTCAGATTTACTTTGGAAAAGAAACATCCGCTAGGAAACATTCAGATCGGATTACAAGGCCCCTATTGAATAAACCCGACAAACACACAGCTGTAATATTAAATTCAGTAGGTGCTTTGAAAAAAACGGGCAGAAAAGGCTTTGATATAGCAAAAACACACCGCTGGGGCTAGCCCACGTCTGAGTGCTGTCATTCCCCTTCCCCTGAACACCTCCCCCTCTGTCTCCAAAAAATAAGTTCGGTGGCAGCTCTGCAAATTCTTGGAGGTAAGGAGCTCTGTTCCTCAGCCTCCTGGATTGGGGCTTTGATGTAACCCGAACTCTTCTTCCCCAGGGCTTTCACTGCCCCTCTAGCCAGTCTCACTAGCCCAAAGCCCTCCCCCACGCAGACGGGGGAAACAGACTGACCTTCGTGGTGGAAGCTCCTCACGGTGTTAGCCCGGCTGGCCGGGCGCTCAGGGTACTCCAGACCAGTGCTGTGGATCTGCTCTTCCTCCTCCTCCCCAGACTGAAGCCGGTAAAGATCCCGCATGTAATCCGGAATGACGGCACTCTTGCTAGGCTGCGGGCGGCGGCGCAGCCCGAACATCTGCAGAAGTGTCGCCTCGAAGTCCCGCAGGAGCTCATGGCTCTGCCCTGAGCGGCGTCCTCCCGCGTGGCCCTGAATCTCGGCGACTTTTTTCTTCCCCGTCTCAGGTATCAAACTAGCATGGCTCGCGCCTCCTAGCAGGACTTGGCATAATAAAACGACCATCAGCATTCGGTTACCAGGAATCATGGTGTCTCTGGGGAGGGGGAGGGGAGTGGAAGGTTAGAGAATAAATAAACACCAATAAATAGGGAGAAATAGATGTGTCTGCATATGCATTTAGGGCTAGAAATGGAGGGGCAAGATGGAAAGCAGGTCAGAAAGATCAAGTTTGTGTCTTCTCCCTCACACCACCCCCCCACCCACCAGCTGCAGCCATGCACGGCCTGAAAGTAAGAATTGCCCTGTAATTACTTGGTCTAACTTGTTTACAGTCAAATAACCCCAAATCAGATAGCCTCCATCCTGTTAATCTTTTTTTGTCCTAACTGCTATCTGAGCCATGATCTCAGCGTGGCTTCTTCAAGGATAAACAGTTAACATTGAGGGGGTAAAAAGGGGTGGGGGAGGGAGAATTAGAATGACATTGCTCTCCACTTTAGACCTTCAGCTTCCCTCCCTTTTCCTCCACCCTCAGAGCCCAACTTTCACAACTTCCAGTTGGTTCAGAGCCAGAGGGAGGGAAAGTGAGAGGCAGGGGCTGGGCGAAGACAGAGGGCGACAGGATCCAGAAGCCGAGAAGGTGGTCTAGGAGCTAACCGAGTGGCTTGAGGGCTTATAGTATTGTGGCCGATGACTTTGAAATACTCAGCCAAAAGTGCCTGATCGTGCCCGCTCACCCCAGGAGAAACCTCTGTGAGTTTTGACAAGACAGTGGGAATGCGCCACTGAGACACTGGGTGCTCCCCCAGGCAAGTAGGGTAGGGGAAGGGAGTGGTTAGCCCTCAAGGTACAACCCCGGGCTTTCATCTCTTTAGCTCCCTCGCGCTCCCCTTTCTTGCAACGCTGAGAGGGCGAGTGCGCGCCAGCAGCACTTTAAAAGGAACCAGTACGCTTCGAGCGCCCCGGCTGCAGGGCCAAGAAGGGAGCGACAGTGCTGCCAGGGAGCAGAGTGTGGACATTGCAAGGGAGGTCCGACGGAAGGGACAGCCGGCGAGCAGGGGTGGTGAGGGCAGAGTGAATTCCCGGGAGGGGGAAGGAAGAGGTGTCTACTCACTGACAGAAAACAAGGCATATAATAACAGTCCATGATTCTTGACAGCCAATCTTGAACAAACTTGCTGGAAAGGCTCAGGGAAGCTGCAGCAGTGCGTTGCTCGGGATGGCACTACAGAATGGCTCCTAAAAGGAATATTTGAATATAATGAGACTCCGGCGCAGACAGACTCTGTTTTTCTTCCAGCCCCTCGGAGTCACGTGAGCGCCGAGGCCCCTCCCGCGGCGGGCGGTGAAAGGGCCTGCGCGCCCTCCCCTCCTCCACAGCCCCCCGCCCCTCGCGGGCCCGCCCCCTCCAGGCGAGGCCAACCTCCGCGCCCGCCGCCCGAGCCTCTGCGGTCCGGGAGGAGCTCCCGGCGGCGCTCGGCAGAGCCCTCGGCCGGTGCCTCGCGGCCGCCGCGCTCCCCGGACTCAGGGCGCAGCGCGCAGAGAACCCGGTTCTCGGCGCGTTGCGTCGGACTGGGCCCCCACGCCGGGCCACATGAAGCCAGAGGATTTGGGGCGCACTGAAAGGACTGCGTCTTGCAGCTGGAACCCTGATTAAGTGGGGGCCGGGAGCGAGGTCGGGAAAGTCTCACTCGCCCAAAGCCTCACCACCGAGAGGCACTTAAAAAGGAAAGCGCCGAGGGACCCTGCACACGCGCGTATACACACACACACAAGCAAACACGAGCTCCCCGCCACTTCCTCCCCAGGGTCTCCACAAGGCCAAATATTGCTCCCAATGACAGCCAGTCACCCCTTGGCGAACGCCTGCTAAGGCTCCGAAGAGCGGGGCCACCGATCTAGCTCCCGGCTGAAAGCTGCCGACCTTGTCACGCACGGGGCCGGGAATGGGCGGGGGGCGTTAGAGGGTGATCGCTGTGGGAAAGTGAGAGGGAGCGGTTGCTAATCATTGCTCCGGGTCCATTACGGAGAATCCCCAAACCAAGTCGGCCGCTGCGTGGCCCCTCTCCCCCGGCAAAGCAGACCCCGAAGAAGCCATTCCAGGCGGAGGGACAGACGCCGGGGCTCGCAGCTCCGGGCAGACTCAGAGAGAGGCGTCGCTGCAGAAAGGACGCATCACAGTTTTCAGATCTTAATGTCGCCGAGGTTTTACAACTCCCGACCCGGCGCAGAAAGGAAATCCCACCATGTTCCCGGGAGTCGAGAAAACCGTGAACAGCTTTCGGCCTGCGCTCGACCTCTGCGTCTGCGTCTCTCTCGCCTCGGCTTGGCTTATTTTTTAAACCACCACACTCCTTCCCCCGCCACTTCCTTCCCCCACCCCCTTCCTCCGTTGCACCAGCAGCAGAGTCGCAGCAAATACTCCTTCAAGAATTTTACCTACCTACAGCTCAAGCGATTACTAGGATGTACTGACTAATTGAAGATGCTGCGGCGCGCGTGGGTCGCTCAGAGCAAGGGCCTCTTCGAAAACCCGACTCGTCGCAACTCAGCGTTCGCAGGGCCGGGCGTGCCAGGTCGCCCCCGGGACCCTGGCCCCATGACTCCTGCCCCAAAGCCCACTCCACCCGATCTCCCTTTCCTGAGGCTGTTTCTGGTTGCCGCTTTGGTCGCTCTGGAGCTCAAGGGCTCGGGTTGCCTGCCGCCCCACTCTCCACGCAAAAACTTGGTTTTCTTCTTAGGGGCACTTGCAGGTAGACTTGGAGGAAGAAGAGTAAAGGATCGAGCAGCTCAGCCCTCCCTCCCGACGGTGGATGCCCGGCGTCGACCGACACCTCAGGTCCGGGTGCGGAGGCCGTGGGCGCCCCTGCGCGACCGTCCGTGCCCAGCAAAAGCCGCGCGGCTTTCGCCTTTGCTGGTCCCGCGCCACCGCTGGGGCGGACTGCGAAAGGGTTGGGAAGAGCAAAGGGTTTTTTTGTTTTGTTTGAGACGCAGAAGCCCTTTAAAAAGCCCGGCGAGGACAGATCCAGAAGTAGAGAAAGGAGACGGAGGCAAGCTGGTGCCCGCGAGGCAGAGGGACAGTGGAAGGGGCGGGCACCCGGGATCCCCGGAAAACCCTCGGCCCCAAGGAATCTCCTGGGGCGGGAGCACGCGGTTCTAAAACCGAGAGGATAGGGAGGGGAAGGGGGAGTTGCCTTTCAATTTCGGACTCACCAGGATTCATTTCTCATCACATTTTTCTTCTCAAATTTTTAAATCGAAAAGATAAAAGCCAAAAGAACTTTCATCCCCAGAACTTTTTCTTGGGGGAAAGGAATGCAACTCGGGGTGGTTGTCCTTCACTTCCCTACCCGAATCTTCTCCTAATGCCGAAATGTGTTTACAGGTAGCCTCAGTTTACCAACTATGTATCTTTTGGGGTGTTTACGTCTCACAAAGCCTTCAACTCATAAACCGCGATCCTTGAAAACCATCCTCCAAAGAAGTGCTTAGGAGGCGTCTGAGGCCCCCGGACCAACTCCCGCTGGAAAAAGCCTGCAGGGACCCGGGAATCACGGGATCCTTTCCCGTCGGTTCCCGGCCGGGAGGGCCAGGAAGAGCCGCGCGTCCGCCTTTCGTCCCGCCAGGAACTCCCCATAGGACACGACACCGCAGGAACGCGCGTCCTGGGAGCCCCTGGGATCCTGGCGGTCGTCTCCACGGACCCTACACCATGAAATGATAGAGGGGAGGCTCCTTCGGTTCCGCAAGTCGACGAAAATAGCTCATGGAGAAGGCGCCTCCTGCAACTGCAGTTCGCAAGCTCTCGGGGCGCCCCGCCAGCTGGGGGCCAGATTGGGTGACACTCCCCTCGACGCAGCCTCCGGAGCGGCGCGCACTCTCCAGAGGCCAGCAAGACTGCGCTCTCTACCGCAGAACCAGCTCCAGCTAGGTATTCTCTCCCCATCTCGCCGTCGCTCTGCCCCCTCACTCTCTCCGGACCTCAGAGCCGGCTCTTTCCTTCCTCCTCCCGCCCTTTCCGTCCCGGGATCGCAACCTCCAGCCCGTGGGCAACGCGTTCAGCCCAAGACCCCACAGTTTTTCCCAACGACCCCCTACCAAGGGCTTCTCTTGCTTCTGTTCTCCTGCCCCGCACTTCCCAAAGGTGAGAATCTCCCAGGGACTGCTGGACAGAGAAGGCCTGGGCAGGGGCAGCAGCCGGTATTTAAAGGTCTTTCAGCGCCAGCATCCCCACCTCCAGTACCATTATAGGAAAATAATTAGGCCACCTTTTGCCTCGGTCACAGTCTGAGTCCCCAGCTTATTCCCCCCAAGGAGGCTCCTAGACCCCCTCTGCCTGTCTCCCCTCACCAGGTAGCCTTGCTCACCATAGGTCCCTGCAGTAGCGGGCTCGCCAGCAGCAGCTCCTGGGGACCTCTGAACGGTTGTAGTGAACCTGGGCGAGGGCCGGGGACTGGGGCGCTGCAGGTTCGAGACAGCTTGGACGGGAATCCCATCGGGGAGACAGGCTAGCTACTCAGCCCGAGCAGCAGCGGCGTCTCAGGCTCGCGTCCCTCGGCTCGGATGCCACACTCACCTAGCTTCCGGGCCGGGCTCCGCGCTCCTTCCCTCCCTCCCTCCTCCTCTGCCTTCTCGCATCTTCCTTCCTCCTCTTTCCCTCCCTCGCTTTCTTTCTTTCCTTCCTCCTCCTCTTCCCCGGCGGCCCCTCCCTTCTTCCCTCCTCCCTCGCTCGCCTCCCTTTCTGGGGATGGGAGCCCCGCCCACATCCTCCCCTCCAGCCTCCCGACCTCGCCTAGCAGGCCCGGGTCCCGGAAGCCCAGGCAGCGCCCGAGTCCGCAGCTGCCGTCCGAGCTGGGACGCCGATGCCTCCAGCTCTGGGAAGCGGCTGGGGCTCACCTGGGGACCACGTGCGGAGGTACTAGAAAGCATGCACCGACTAGTCGCTGTACCTTCCAAAAATACCCATGGGAGTCTGGGCTTCCCTGAGTTTAGTGTAACTGCTGCCCAAACTGATGATTAAAACACTGAGTAATCACCATTTACCCTGAGTAATTAGAGATAATGAAACACCTCTAAAATCAGGTTATGGAGAAAGGAGCTGTTGGATCGGTTTAAAAGGTGGCCTTCCATAAACTGTTAAAGGATTTCCAAACGTTGAGAAACAGGCTGTGTGCAGAACTGTGTGCCAGTGAGAGATACCTCTTGGGCTGTTAAAAGTTGAATTTCCTTCCAAAACATTCTTCAAGTGCGTTTTGTGGAACGCCTTGGTGATGACCCTGAGGTAGACCCCAGTAAATGAGCTCACTTGCCTCCTCCCCACAAGGCCAAAAGACAGAGGTGGCCTGCAGACAGGCTGAGGCCGCGTTTTTACAGTTAGAAAAATCTGTTTCTAGCTCAGAAGCCGTCTTAAGAACCGACACAGCAGTTATTTTTGTTGGTGGTGTTATGGTTGATGTTGATTTTTTTGTTCATTTTTGGTGTACCTAAGAATCCTGACACTCCAGGAGTATCAGGTGGTTATCCAAGGAGATAATCACAGAAGCAATAACCTTTTAGGCCACAGCAAGACAAGAAAAGATGCCCCTTGGTCTGTTTTCAAAGAGGGGAGATGAGGAATTGGCCCTTTCATATAAAAACATTTTAGTAATCATATTAGCAGGGAGGTGGAATATGGTGGCTTTTAAACCTTCCCAAACAGGAACTAATTTCACACACTGCCTCGGATGGAGCTGTGAGGGAGCTATCAGCCTCATCTCTCTGTTTTACAAACAAGGAAAGGAAGGACTACCAGGTTAAAGGGACTTGCCCAGATCTCTGAAGTAAATCACAGCCTCTGCTCCAGAGCTAATGCTTCAGGGAGGGGTTGAGGCTCACAGCCTGAGCTCCAGGTAGCCAGGGGCGTGCTGGAAGACTGAGCATTTCCTGTCCTGGATTTCTTTCCCTGGGACAGACATGACACTTTACTGTCTCCGCAGAGCATTTAGGTCTTTACTTAAACAGATATTGGCCCCGGGTGTCGCATCTATAAAAACTTTCCATTTATACACCTTCAATATTTAAAAAACAAGAACTGCTTCCTGTGTGGAACACAGATTACAAAGGGTGTGAAATACCTGAGATCAGAAAAGCAACTGTCAGAGCAAGGCCAAGACATCCTGCCATCTTTTCCCAGCCTAGGTCTTTTGGCCTAATAATGCACCAAACAACAGAAACAAGCTGTAGGGCTTTGGGCAAGTCTTTTCATTCCTGTGAGTGTCAGTTTTCTCATCTGCAGAATGAAAGGATTGGGCCAGATCATCTGCATGCTCCCTTTATATTTGAAAATGATTTGATTATTTAATTGTAATTTTAGCCAACATACATCTTCTTTCATTTTAAATCACTCCTGAGTTGACTTTCTCTAAGAACCTCTGATTAAAACAGGACAGGGCAGTAACACCACCCCAAAAGGATGACAAAATATACCTCCAGCTTCCAAATACTCAAAATCACAATTAATTATTAAAAATAATAACAGAAAATTAAAACTCCATTAAATAGTTACCTAATGTTCCTCCTGCAGCACCAGGCATTGTGCTCCTTTAGCACAGTACCTGAAGTAAGGACAGATTAAATGCTCACTGAACCCCTAAATCAACCACTATTGTTTTAATCATTAACAAAATGTGTTTCTTAATATTTAAACTCAGAAACAGCAGTGATATGCTGTACTTAAAGGCAGGACTTTATTTTATTTTAAAGAACAAATGTCGTTTTGGGTTTTTTTTTAATTCCAAAGGTTTTTGAATGACAGTTTTTGTCTCATTTTGCTGCAGCCCAGACAATAAAGTGGCCACTGATTGGCCCATCCATGAGTCTGTGACACTCACAGTCCAGGAGTTTCCAATTAAGCTACCCAACACACCTTGTTTAGACCCCTGATATGAATCTTCAGATATATGATGAGAGAACTCAGCTTTAGTTCTCTTGGGACAGCTTTATTTCTCTCCCCATATTTTAGATGGGTGCAAGCCATCTGTTATCAACTGCTTTTACCCATTCTTCCTCTTTCCCCCCTTACCCGTGCCAAAGAACTAATTACTTGTTGGTTAGAGAGCTAAATCAATCACAGCCTAGTGATCAGAGTTGGTGAGAAGAATCAGTTTAGTTATTTTCCCTATCTCAAACTTACCTGTGAATTTTCATGTTTTTATAGAACATGGTAGATAGACCAAATAAAACTGTACCCTTAAAGCATATTGATGAAGAGGAGAAACCCACCATAATTCAGGAGCAGCTATTGCTCCTATGCTGCTACTGCTGAATAGAGGGCATTCCTTTGTTGGATCTTTCCTGGAGAACATCAAGAAAGAGTGGCTGGTCAATAGCCTGTCGGCAAGCCCTTGGGACAGCCTTTTTCAAAGTATGTTCTCAGGACTATAAGCCTCAGAGTAGGGTGGGGGTGCAGATAAAATGCAGATTTCCTGGCCCTGCCCCAGATCTGGACCCAGAAATCTGTATATTTTACAAGGTTCTCTGGTCATTCTGAGCACACTAAAGCTTGAGAGCTACTGTGGATTTTTTTTTTTTTTTTTTTTGAGATGAAGTTTGGCTCTTATTGCCCAGGCTGGAGTGCAATGGCATAATCTCAACTCACCACAACCTCCACCTCCCAGGTTCAAGCGATTCTCCTGCCTCAGCCTCCCGAGTAGCTGGGATTACAGGCACCTGCTACCACGCCCGGCTAATATTTTGTATTTTTACTAGAGACAGGGTTTCTACATGTTGGTCAGGCTGGTCTCGAAATCCTGACCTCAGGTGATACACCCACCTCGGCCTCCCAAAGTGCTGGGATTACAGGCGTGAGCCACGGTGCCCAGCCCCTGAGAGCTACTGTTTTAAAAGCTATTTTGCTTCCATTTTCTATGCTGATAAGTACCATTAAAAGGCTGGTACCAAGACATCATTAAACAGGCAAGGAATATGCTTGGCTTGAGTTTTATAAACTGTTAAATGTGGCAATTATAGTATCACTATGCCCTGAACACACCAAATAGGTCTATGCAAGTGAAAAGATAATCCTATGGATACAATAGCCCTTAATTCCCCATCCCCAGTTAAGAACCACATCAGGTCTTCAAACCTTCTTTGCCAATTAGGTGTCTGGTGAAGCTATGGAAGGAATTGCCAGAGTCATTGCTAAGTTTTGAGAGGCAATAAGATAGATCAATTGGAATTGGAATTCGAATTGGAAGTGATCTCTGAAATTGGCCAGAAATATTAGTTTTCCTCTTAATATTTATCATATGTTATATATTTGCCCTATAGATCTCTAGCCCTTACAAAAACCCTTATAAAATCCCTTTCCTACAGATGAGAATCTGAAGTTTAGAGAGGCTGTGTAAGTTGCTCAAGGTCACAAAGCTAAAAGATGGTGGACCCCAAGTCCAAACCATGTCAGTCTCTCCTCTCCCTGGACCTGCAGGTGGGGGAGCAAGTGAGGGGTATTGTGGATAGATCCCCGAGGCTTATCCTGGAAGCTTTCCCCAGGCCAAGGCACCAGCTGCTGCTCTATCCTGGCAGCATGCTATTACCAGGAATTTCAGGATATCTTCCCAAGTTCTTAGATAACAAAATAAAATCAAGACCTAGAAGTTTGTTTCTTCCTGACGTTCCTATATAAGCCCACCTTAGGGCAAGACTTTTATGTGACCTTTCCTGAGAAAAAGGTTATGATCTTGAGAAAGGAGCTAATTATCTCTGCTGGGTCCAAGTCTCCTCATTGTAAAATGTGGAGCTTGAACAGGGTCCTCACAGGTCTTTCTCAGGCCCCAGAATACAGAGACAAGTATAACCTGGTCGTTAAAATCACAGTCAAATTTCTTAATCTCCAGTGTCCACTCATTATGTTTTGTCTATATAGATCTGACCCATGAACATAGCTCTGCCAAGATAACTACTCACTGTCAAAATCATACCTACTCTGAGCAATTAGTTTTTACTAATAGTCTGAGACTGAATGACATGTCCAAAAAGCATTTTCCGTCTGAGTTTTCGGATTCCTAACACCTCTAACTTTTAATAATTTTTTTCCCTGTCCCTCAGGCTAAAACATAAACTCATTTTCTTTCTTTCTGGTCTAAAGATGAACTTTTAACCCAATTGCACAAGTTGTTCCTTCTCTAAACATTTAATATTGTTGCCAACCTTTGATATGCCTCACTCAAACTAAATAATACTGGATGCTGATATTTTCTCATGACAAAAAGAAAATCTAATACTATTTCGTTTCCTTATGTTTTAAATTACTGCCTTGCTACTTTCTGGAATATGGTCCTTTCTAGAAAAACCCTACAATATTAACATCCAAGCCGGGCGTGGTGGCTCACACCTGTAATCCCAGCACTTTGGGAGGCCGAGGCCAGCGGATCCCGAAGTCAGGAGATCGAGACCATCCTGGCTAACACGGTGAAACCCCGTCTCTACTAAAAATACAAAAACTTAGCCGGGTGTGGTGGCGGGCACCTGTAGTCCCAGCTACTCAGGAGGCTGAGGCAGGAGAATGGCGTGAACCCAGGAGGCAGAGCTTGCAGTGAGCTGAGATCGCCCCACTGCACTCCAGCCTGGGCAATAGAGTGAGACTCTGTCTCAAAAACAAACAAACAAACAAGCAAAAAACCAAGCAAACAAACAAACAAAAAATCCAAAATAGACAGAGACTTCTAAATGAACCCCCAGTGATATCAGACAGATGAAAAGACTTTTTATGTCATAACATGTTTAATATGTGGATGGCAGACAGGGCATGGATATGAAAAGTCTTTCTTTTCTAGGGAATGATCAGGATGGGATTGACATGCAATGACAGATTTTTGGGTTTTAACTATTCTCAGTTTCCTCTCCTAAAAAAATAGTCGACTGCACTCACTCAATTCTACAACAGGGATGCTGTTTGAAAATAAATTCTTTTAGAGGATATCAAAAAGATTAAACCTTGAAATGTCTTTGTTTTCTGCTCATACATCCTTCTCATTCTCTTTTTCTGACCCTAGTGTGCGGGAACAGTGTGACCTAAACAAGAACATAGTGTCACTATAGGATGAGTGACACTTGAAAGCAGAAGCAGAGTGCTACATGGACACCTGACTGTACCAAATGGTTATTGTGGTTTCCCAATCAGATGCCAATTGTGGAATACCAGCTAATATTCTACCCTCAATTGATGCTAAAAGCTTTCCAGTCTTTCTCAAGGAAACCTGGCCAAAGGGATATGTGATCCAAGGAATTGTTACTGTATAAGTAAAACTTGGATGTTTTTACTAATAGTCCACATATTTCACAGCCCTTTGGTGGAGAGCCTTTTTCATTAATGTTCTGTTCAAGAATAATTGCATAGTATTTATAATCCTCTCAGGGATTAAGTATAGATGTAACATACAACTCAAAAATGCTTGTTGATGTTCACTTTGTAAAAATTCATCAAGTTGTTTACTTGATATTCATGCACTTTCTTTTTGTGTTATATATTTTTTAATTAAATGCTTATGGAAACTATGCTTTTAAAATGATTTTTTAAAAGTTATTTTCTTTGACCATTAGTTGAAGCCCACTAGCAATACACAATGTTTGGAGCCAAATGGTTGGGCAGGGCAAAACCAGGGGGAGCCTATTCTATGGTCCTCTGGTGGCCACAGCACCTGAGAAACTGATATGTGGCTTCAGGAAATCCACTCTGGGGCCACAGAAGAAAGAACAGTTGTACCAACCAAGGCCTGGTCTCGGGACTGGTACAGCCCATGGTAGAAGGCAAGATGTCTGACACAATCCTGGCATGTTCCTTAAACTCTTGGGAGGGCTGGTAACCACTGGAGCAGAACAGAAGCTCCTGGAGGCATCTGAGACTTGTGCTCAGCTCTTCCCTTCCTTGGCTTCTCTTGCTAAGAAGCTCAGACTGGCACTGCAAACCATCAATCTCTGGGGCAAAATGGCAAGGTCATCAGAAATGTATTTCTTAGGATAAAAATGCAGGAAGGTAAAACTTCATCCAAAACAGATAACAGTTTAAGAGAAAGAAATGGGCTCCACCCCCAGATTCTGGGAGCCCGGGGCTTAGGAGATGGGCTGGGAAAAGGATGGTGATAGAGAAAATGGGACTCCCAAGTGACTGTCTTGGTCCCTCACCACAGCTGAATCCCAGCTTTGATGCAGAGAGATGGAGTCAAGTGCATGTGACCGGGCTTTGACCCTTTTCAGAATCTTGCACCCACAGGGCCAGGCTCAGAGATTGTGCAAACTCAGTTTCAGGGAGTCAGAGAAATCGAAGAGAGGTGTTGAGAGGCTGGGCTGCAAGAAAAGTATGAGGTGAGGGGTTGAAGGAGGGAGTCCTGCTCTTGAGGAGCAGCCCAGATGCACACTCCACTCACCTCCTCCAGGCAGAAGAAGAACAAGGTGTGCACGCGGGGAAGTTCGGAGGCCCGCTTCGTCTTTCTAGACTGCAGCTGCGCCAACATGCTGGGGACACGAGGATCACCAGTCCGAGTACCTCCCCACCCCTCCCTGAGCCAGCTAAGGAGAACAACTTCCCAGCTCCTTATCCTCATTCCCTCCTTTATCACACGCAGACTGGACTTCTCCGATATCCCCTAATGTAAAGAAACATCCGCGTGCTCCGCCGATGCCCCAGGGCCACCGGAAGAGAGCAGTGGGGTGTGAGAACTAGGCTGTTTCCAGTGGCTGGTGGGCGCGGGGGAGCGACTACTGCGCCCTCCCCTTGGGCATTCCTCTCCGGTCCCTGAGGCGACGCCCTAGTAAGCCTCCACGGACGTCAGCGAAGGGTGGGTGGAGGGTCACCCTGACCGCGCCCCACAGCTGGGCCCTGCGCTCTGCCCACCGCCACGCCACCTTCACCGCGCGATGCCGGCACTCCCGCCTTTCTCTTGCCCTCGTTATTTTTAGTTCGGCTGCTGCACCTCCCTGCTTGCAACAGCTCGCCCCGCTCTCAGACTCGTTTTGCAGGATTTGTGCCCCCGGTGGCTAACCTGATCCGCACTTGAATAAACAGCGAGCGCCCGGGCAACCTGGGCGAGCCACCCGCGCGGAATTTGCATCCATCCGCACCAGAGGTTCCCGAGACGCTAAGCGTTCTCGCCTACCAGAACTTGGAAACAATGGACCATCCCCGGAATGAATGAATGAAATTTTTAAAACGAAAGGGACAGGGGCAGCGGCAGAGCGGCTCCTGGGACAATTTTGCCCGTGCTTCCTGACGTTCTCTCCGTGAAGCCCAAGGGGACGCCGGGGCAACAGGGTACAGGAGCCCGGATGATAGTGGCAGAAAATTAAATTTGGATAGTATTTGTTAAGTTTGCTTTCCTAGCTAGCTGCCCCCTCCACTACCATTTCTATCTTAAGACAGGCTTTCCAGGTGGCAGAGGATGGCTTTTCTCATCAGTTAAGAAAAACAGCGTGCTCCCCCAAGGTCTGAGTTTGTGTGATGGGCTGTTTCCACTTGCCAAGCCCTGCGGTGGTACCTGCAAGCTTATGCGATAGTAGGAAAGTGAGATTTGTAAGGCCTGGAGGAGGTGTGAGGTTGCCAGAGGCCACTTCAGATAGTCAGTTCCTGGTGGGTTAGTGAATCATTGCACAACCTTAAGGGCTCCAGCCTTCCTGCAAGCCAGTCAAACAAAAAGAAAACATAACAAAGAGTTTTCTTTATTCAGCATAAAGGGATGGCTGGCTAGCTTTTGAAGCTTTTTCCTCAGAATTCTGATTTTTATTCTGAAAATCTGAGTTTTGTTTCTTGTTCACCTCCAACAAGTTAGGATGTCAACTATGGATAACAGGTAAACATGCCTCCAAATATGCTGTGGCACTCTGTGACTTGACTAGTTCTACAGCTAGAACCCAAGGAGTTTGGATGATCTAGTTTTATTTCCCCAGTTTTAGAAGAAATTCAGAGAGAAAAAATGGGGACAAAAACCAGGTGATTAAGGGACTAAGATTCTCAAGGGGTAAGTAAAAGTGATTGTTGGCTTTGTTTGTTGTATTTAAATTAAATGTTAATCTCTTTAAACTAGAGATTCTTAGGCCTGCCACTTGACTTCATTAAGAATCCCTGGATGGATTTTAGGGGATCTGTGAAAACTCCGACATTTATGCAGATGATTTTTGATGTAAACGTAAAAGTGCTTGGGGGTGCATGACTTCATCTATGTTTCCATGTGCTAAATCTTTTCTATTGGGATATGTCTCCAAGTTGCACTCATAACAAACTTTCATCCAGTGGTACCTAGTTTTCACACTCAACAACAAAACGTTCTTAACTCATCACTGGACAACAGAAACTCCACTCTGTTAAGAGCCAACAGTCACAGGGGAAAGGACCCTGGCACAATAGTGACCTGGAGCCTAAGTCCCTGCTCTGCCCCATGTTAACTGTACCCACCGGTTACCCACTGAAGACTCTTGTGACTTAACGTGAGGATCAAACATTGGAGTGTACATGAAACCAATTTACAGATCACAAAATACATGGCTAGTGGCATTTATGAAATAAATGCTGATGGGTTTCCACATGCTAGAATTATGAAATTATGAAATTCCAATTGTTCATAATTAAATGAACAATTATGTGAATAATTATAATTATGTGAATATGTGCATATTTTCTTCAACCATATACTTATAAGGAAAATCAACATACTTTGGATTCCTGACCATTGTTAGTCATATTCATGTTTCATTATCTCATTTAATCCTCAAAAAAGCTCCTTGTGGTTTATATACCACAGTTATCAACACACATCGCCCCACCCCCATCACCACCACCACCAACTTTCTTTTAGCATTTGAGGAAAGAAGTGTAGAGAGGTTAAGTAATTTGCCTAAGGCCACCCAGCTAACAAACACCAGGTTTCGATTTCAGATAAAGTTCCTGTTTACAAGAGGGGAATATTAGAAAAAGAGCAAATTTTGTACAGCTTTAGGTAAATTTAATTCCTTGTGCATTTTGTGCAAAAGTACAGGAGTTTTAAATAGAGCAGCCACAATTAAGATGATCAGTCTTCTCATATACTCTTTGCTGGAAAACTGTCCTTAACCCATTTATTTCTCCCCTTTCATTTCCTCCACAGTTCAGGTTCACTAGTGTCTTAATAAAAATGTATATACATAGTTCCTTATTAGTGGCATCTAGCTTCTTTAACTAATTAGGCAGGCTTAGAAGGGAAAGAGCATCTCTGTCCTCCACTTCTGCAACTTTTTCCAGTAACCCTTTGAACTAAGAAGCATCATCTATGGCAGCCAATAGATGCCAAACTGAAGCCATCGAATGGCTGAATATCTCAAAGTTAACTCAAAGTTAATTAGCAAGGACATATCTCTTTTGTGTATAGCACCCAGTCATGAAGCTAGAGAAGTCAAAACAGATACATTTCGTGGCTTCCTGAGTTATAGGGAAATTAAGAAAACAACCATGAACTCTGATCTACTTTCTTTTAAATACTTTCTTATGCCTTTAGCACTGGCATGTGGGTTTGTTCAACACAGTCCTCCTATTTCATTTCTCTTTAGCATAAAATCCTTAATAGCAAACTGTACACTACATAGTTTGTGGATGTTCCATAGAACAGAAGGACATCTGTTCTTGATCTTTAATTATGTTTTAATTATATCTTGAGAACCAGTATCACAAAAAATGAGTTGCTGGAGGTCAAGACCCAAAAGCAAAAGCAAAAAAAAAAAAAAAAATTATGGATTATAGTAGGTACGTTGCTAAAAAAAATTATGAATGATGGTGTGCTCCTGTACAAGACTCAGATTGCTGGAATAACAGACAAAAGCATCTTCTTAGTAACATTTTGATACTTAAACAAGGAGGAATTGATGAAATGATTTGTTAAAGTGCTTTAGTCACTGTTGTGTGGTTTTTTTGAAAATACAGACTTGAAGTCAGGTAGCCTGGTTTCAGGTATAACTAAAACTAGTTCATACTATTGGCATGAACATGGATATGTGACTTTATTTCTGGAGGCCTCTGCTTCTTGATGAGTTATGTGGGCTATATGATATCTCAACTTCAGAGGTTGATGGGCTTTTTCTGCAAAGGGCCAGAGAGTAAATATTTCAGGCTTTGTGGGCCACATGCTGTCTCTGTCATTATTTTTTTCTCTTCCTCCTAGTCTTTTTCCTCCCTCTCCTTCTCTTCCTTTTCCTCCTCCCTGTTCTTTTTCTTCTACAATTGTTTACCATTTATATTTATTGGTTAGGGCTGCTGTAACAAACTACCACAAATTGGGTGGCTTAAACAAGAGAAATTTATTGTCTAACAGTTTTGGAAGCTAGATGTCTAAGATCAAGGTGTTGGCAATGTTGGTTCTATTGAGAGCTGAAAGGGAGGCTTTGTTCCATGTCTCTCTCCTCACTTCTAGTGGTCTAGTCTTTGGCATTCTTTAACTTGTAGAAGCATCACCCCCATCTCTGCCTTCACATTCATATGGCGTTCTCCCTGTGTACACATCTATGTCCAAACTACCCCCTTTTATAAAA